ACTTTCATAAAAAAATTGTTTCCTTTACAAAGACAAAATCAGAAATGAGGATATCTGAGTTTGATGCAGCCATGGTGAAACACAGTGCAGTCTCTGTAATATAGACTGCAGCTTGAATTTATGTCTACACATGATTCCCTCAGTAACATCATACTGCATCACGCTGTATAGAGGCATAAAACGTATAAAATATAATTACGCCCTCAGCTTCGGTTATTGCGGCGAATTTTATTCATCCCATTATTCAAACTGATAAGATTTTTTTTTTCCGAGAGCAAATACAACTGGCACAAATGACTATCTTGATTTTCCATTGCTATAGCAACAAAAGCAATATGCATGTCCTGAATTAAAAACATCATTAACACTTGCGCCTTTAAGCTCAGGAGAAGCTGCGCACACATATTTTTCCATAGTCACCACAGTGTATAGATAAAGCAGTTGTTGTTGTTTGATAAGTCTAAATAAGGCAAAGGAAACAGAGGAGAGATGGAGAGCGAACTAAAGTCTGGCTCTAAAGAAGGACAAGCTGCCAAAAACAAAGTGCACCAAAAAGCTTCATTTAAAAATTATTAGAGTGGGCTGCCTAACCTAAATCCTCACAATTAGCACCCTGAAAGCACAAACTGAGCGGTTTCAATACTGTGATGTTCAAGCAGTTTGTTAAATACTCTTTTTTTTCTCTTTCTTGATTCATCTGGAACCCGAGGCCTCAAATCCTGCTCTCCGTTTGTGCGAGTTTGTGTGAGAGTTTGAGTGTGCGTATGCCCTTAAAAAGACAGACGAGAAATAAGAAGAAAAAGACAGAAAAAGGGGGCATGCAGTCAAAGAAACAAACAGCCAAACACACATAGCCGTCAACTATTGTCTGACATAAAAACTCTGAAACAAAAGCGTTTTGTTGGAGGAATAATGTATTTGTTCACATGCGCTGCATTAATTTCTCAAATACATAAAAACACAAGACGTAGTACTAAAATCAATCTTCTTTTTATTGCACATGGCGGGAGATTCTCTGGTGGTATATATTCTACAGCACATAGCCTTTTTTTTTCTCATGGTTTTATTCATTTTCTAAGACAGAGTGGAAGAAGAAATACCTTGCTGGCAAAATTATATAGTTATGTGTGCCATGTTTGCCCACGCTTTCAAGTGGTCTAAATATCTACTTGTTCTCAAACAGCGTTGGCAGCTGTTTCTCAAATTACTGGAGGATGCACGCAAATGCAATGTCCAGGTTCCAGCAAAAGAAAAAGCCCACTTACGGAAGGTTGGCAGCTTTACAAAAAAGCACGCTTTCTCTCCACATGATTCTAATTACTGAAAACTTGCTTCAACAATGGCTCCCAGAATCTATTAGAACAAACAGCTGCCCGTGACAATTAGGACATAATCATTTTGCATGAGGGAGTGTCTTCATTTTTAGACTGTTGTTTATTCAGGCTCCTTCAAGTTGATGCCAGATGTTAAGAAAAGCCTAATTCGATTTCATGGTGCCCTCGCTACAAAGTCACTCGGAGCTACAATATTAATTACAATTAAATACCATTAATAGGTCTTAAATAAATAAAAGTTTTGCTCCCAGAGGTAATGACTAATGCGAATAAAACATTAATGTCGAAAAACAAACACCACAAACAAAAACAAACATTCACCAAGGAGTCAAGGTGAGTGTTTTGCTAAGCATAATCACTTATTTAAAGAAGCTGCCAGAAATCCATAAAGCAAAGACAAGCTGCTGTAAGAGATATCAAGACCAAACAAAGCCCGTTCAGCCAGATAAAACACTGCCTTGAGAAGTATGTACACAGAGATAAACGAACAGGAGACGTGCATGCCAAGTTCTACCATATAACAAGCTCGAAAATCCAAAACCAGCCCTCTGGTAACCACCCTGGCAGGGATGAATTCACGGGTTACTGGATTATAAGTCGGCTATATTTAGATAGAGAAGAGGGGAGGCCAAGTGGTTGCCACCTTGTTCTCTGGTAGGCTGCAGCTCTATGGCTTTTATTATTACATATACTGCCCCCCCCCCCAACTGCCGTTCTCTCAAAATAGCAAAGAAGTCAGCGGTGCACAGAGGGGGACTTGGCTGACAACCACCTTACTGAGTGATAAACAGAGACCACTTAGGAGTGAATCAGGGGAGATTGGCTCTGCCATTTCAGATAAGGATCAGCTCGCGGGCACACCTAGACCTGCATAAATCTGTTCAGAGGAGATGGCGATTTGTCATGTCACACGTGTCTTATGTAGAGTGAAAAAAAGCAGCTATACAGCAATGGCAAGATCCAAAAAGCAGTGTCCTGCATGTCCCAGTGTTGCTTGATGTGAAGGTGGTGCAACATTGGCAATAAATAAATAAAAACCAATGTGGTTTTAGGTATTTCTTTAGTCCTTTCTTTGATATTTTTTGTACATGCTGTTCCAGTTCTGCCTATTATGTGTAAGGTGATATGCCGCTGCTTGTGAGATGATGAGTTAGCAGGAACACACAAGAAGGAGGTGATTCTAGCAAGTGGGCTGAGAGATTACTGGGTGGTTTTTTTGACTGTCATCAGTCTTTGAGTCATCTGCTGTTATACACTGATAATTCTGATATTCTTTGTGTGACACTGTTATGACAAAACATATAATATCTCCAGTCCTGGCAAACTGTGGTCTCACACTGAAATGTGAAATGTCACCAACACGATGACTTCAGTATGAATAAGCAACAGATGTTATTAATAATTCTGACTGTGTAGTCAAAAAACTAATGTGAGAGTTTAACACAAGCATTTTCTGCCGCTTAACATTTTGCTGAAACTGCAGAAAAGTTGGGTTGCAAGTTACTGTGCAAACAGTAAGGAAGAACTTTAACAGTCCTGTTGTGATTCCCCAAACACTCCTCATCCCTCAGGATGCTTACAGACATAATACAAATCTATTAGACTACCTGTCATAAAACATGAAAACACACATCTGAAATCAGATGTGTGTTTTATATTGTTATTTATTAGGCAAATGACAAACTGAATTTGTGTTTTTATACCCATAACAGAGCCAGCACACTGGACTGCTGTGAGAAGTCAGAAATTAATCAAGCATAACAATTAACCACTAAAACTAATTTTTCTGTTCAGGAAGGCAAGTAAATAATTGTGATTTGGCACCTTAATCAAAAAATAATAATAATGTGCTTTACTTTTTTCAGCTGTTTTATAAAACAGCAAATTTGAAAATTCATGGATTACAACAGTTATTATATTTTTGCATTTAAAAATATTTTGATGATAGATTTACCATTACATTGTATTGTTATTACCAATAGTCTTAATTTAGGTCAGCTGTGGCATAAACCTTACAGTGAAACATTATGAACATATACTGGATGGGATTTAGTGATAAATGAATAAACATTTCACTCTGTCATGTATCCAACAAACAACTTTTAGAGTAATAAGATGATGCTTTTCAATACTTATGACATTATACTGTTGTCAACATGAAATTTGACAACATATTTCAGCTATTTATGGAGCCTGATGGGGACACTGGTGGACAAAGTATTACTGCATGGCAACAAGTTAGTTATTTGTGATGACAAGATCAATAACTTGTGGCTAAGAGGCAGTCAGGAATACAGATATGATAACTAAATTGTTGCCATGTGTTATTAATGCCTGGCCACAAGATACAGAATCTGTTGTTTACTGACAGCATCAAGCGAGCTCTTTAGGGAAATTATCACACATGAAGCATCTATAAATTTGATTTAATTTTGTTTTATTTTAACCTTGGGATGAGTTATAATAATATCCTGCATTATCAGCAGTGGGAGGGGCCCTGAACCAGCTCTCGCTCTCTCAGTCCTGTTACATGTCTGTTGTTTTCTTCTGTGTAAGGAATTATATAATTGAGGAATACTGAGTAGTGGCTAAGAAATCAAAATACGTGACATGACGGATGTGTTGATAACCTGTGTTCTGTTTAAACACAGCCTGGCACCTAAAAACAACAACCTGCTCTGAAGCAACAGTGAAAATAGTTTGTAATTTTGTTGTTTATGCTATTTTTATACACGTATAGATCTTGAGAGGGCAAAAATTACAAGCATCTGACTTGATGGTTGAGCCCAGACGTGAACAAAGCTCTATGCGCTTCAGGCAACAATTAAAAGATCAGACACCTTGCAGCTTTCTGATCTTGTTTATCTCATATTCAAAGTCATGGACACTTTATAATGAAGTTGTGGCCACGATTTAATATCTAATTCCCATGTCTTATTAACTCGTGAATACTATTTAATTATCTCATTCACATGTCTTATTATGGACACAAGTTATTGGTCGTTTGGTCACACGTTACCATGTGGCCAGGAGGGCTTTATAGCTCTAACTCTCGTTAGTCGTATTTATACTAGAATATGATTATAACAAACGGAAAAGGCCATCACAATAAGAAGATTTGCCATTTCTGTTAGCTATTTCCAGAATTTTTAGAATCAAATCCAGCAATGGACTTTCATCTGTGTTTTTTGTTTAAGATTCAACCAACGGCATAAGCAGAACTGTTTATTATTTGCTATTTTTAGAAACGACATGTTTTTTAAGCGAAACAAAAAATGTGTTACACTCGAGACAAAAAGCATTTAAAGTCTGAAACTAGCGCTCAATTGCATGTAACCATATTTAAACCATACAGTGTTAATATAATGGCACACCTGTGCAGTTAAAAAATAATATTGTGGAGGAATGTGCATCTGACAGTGAGCGTCAAACATTCGTTAGTGAGGTGTGTTTGACTCTAATTGCACAGAGTAAATAATTATTGTGTTGAAAAAGACAACAGTTCTTGACATCTGTAATGTTCACCCAAGTATTAACATTAGCTGACAGTGTTAATTTGTTTGCTGTAAAATATAATAGCAGTCCAAACAAGTGCTTTATCAGGCAACATTCATGCTGATAGATGTGAACATGCAAGAGAGAGCAGAAAAAATGTTTAGCACTCACATTCACAGAGGTGATCTTCCCCAATTGACAGGCCTCCTGCAAGGAAAGATGACAGATTTTTACATCGCTGTCTGACTGTAACTCTATAGAGAATTTACAATTGAAATTGATATTTGAACTCAGCAAAGGAAAGTGCACGGGGAACTTTCCGGTGTTCTTAGAGTCAATCAGAGTTCACAATCGAGAACCACGTAGATTTGAGAGTTTTTTAAAGTAGGAATTGAGAATAAGGATACATATTGATTTCTTGCTCGGATACAAACTTTGTGCAGTGCACTTCCGTGCCCAGTTGGCTCGCCAGCAAACCAGGCTGCAGAGTACACACCCGCTCCCCAGAAAAGTAAAGAATAGGGCAAACCTGACATCCTGACAACAGAAGCCCTACATCTGACACTTTGATAAAGATGTTTTCTCGACATGTCAGGGAGGAAAGTGAACAGAATATCAAATGAAGCATCAAAAATTAACAATAAACAGCGACAAGCTTCTAAATTGGGAACAAAAGACACCCGCAAGCCTGCAAAATAGCATCCTCTCTCTGGGGACTTAGATAACTCACAGAGAGATAAGAGTATTTAATTTTTAATCACCAATTTTGTTTTCTTTGTACTGTGTATAATAATCTGAATACGTGACTTTATTTGCAAAGAAAATAGAAGAAATGTGGCAGTGAAGTGCCACTTAGACAGGGGAGAAGCTGAGAGGACTACTGGGGTGGAACGGTAAAACAATGAACAGGAAACAAGTTCATGTCAACAGATTATCCCTCCGTAATTATTCGCCAAGGGATGCTGTTACTGACTGAGCGATAGAGGAGTACACCCCAGGATATTCACTAAAAACAAAATGGTTCTTTGTGGTGGCCAGTTAAATTAAAAAGAAAAAAATAAGAATCCATAAAGGGTTTTAGTATCCTTCAACTCATTGTTATAGTTTTACAGCCCATACATTTACGGTTTGGCTCCATCTCACCCCTCATCATCATCCACTGTGCCCAGAACACCCTACTGTTGCATTTATTGCACAAAAGCTCTGATAAAGCCAACACTAAAAGGCAGACAAGCAAAGCTAGCAGTTAGCTGATAAGCATATCATTTAGCAGTGTTTCCCTCAAAAGCTGGAGTCTAAATATATGGAGTTAATATATGTTAATATTGGCTTTAGAGTATGATGTGCATACAGAAAAAGATGACTTTTAAAAAAATCTTTTGTAGGCAGCAACAACCTTATGTTGCATAAACTGTTTATGAAAGTTCATTTGCAATATTATTGATCATATATTCCCCAGCATGGACAACAGTGACACAAACCTAAACATGCCTGAAAGTAACACAACATGATGGCCTCTGATGACAATTTAGTACCTAGAAAAGAAGCCACTTCAATACTATTGAAGTGGTTTGGCTACAAGAAGTCAGACCTCTGAGCACAATACATAAGAATACTTTTCTCGAGAAAAACAGAAACGACAAGCTTCACAACTCGAATCAAAAACAGACCATCCAGTATACCAGTGTAAGAAGGCACACAAGGAGCAGGTACTAACAACTGGCAGTGTGTAACCCATTAGTAAACAAATGACTCAACTGAGAAAATTTTAAATGTAAAACCTTGCCTAGGCCTTACTTTTGTGCTTACACTTGACTTATGCTGTGTCACTGGATGTATTGCTGTTTCACTACAATTGCACTATAATGCTGCTGCTGGCACCTTGTGGCAATAGATTTAAACAAATGAATTAGGAGGTATGTTATCAATGCCAATTGCTTAGTGGAAAAGAAGGATGGGAAATGTCCCTTCGTTTTGTTTTCACTCATAAATCCTGCTGCCTGCGAGGATTTTTACATTGTGTCGTCTTAGGTATTATTGCAAATGGGGCAGATTTCAAACCCACCTTCCATTTCTTTTATTTCTATATTTTTTTTTCTCCATATCTAAATTTTCTGCAAGGCAAAAATATGATTAAGATCTTTCTAACACAGTCACGATACTTGCTTGGCATATGAATCACTGTAATTACTATGAAATCAGCAGCACATCAATTTCAAAAGTATCCTGTTCAAGAACTGCAACTGTAGATGCACTCTTAACAATCTCTTCTACATATGGAGACAATGTCACTCATATCAAAGTAGATTACATAAGCTTGTAATTAGAATTAACACTCCACTTATCATTTCATCATCACATTATGCCCTAAATATCTACTAAGCACTCATAATCAGATTATAAGGAATACAAAAATATTATAAAGGCATATATTGGTGTCTTTCTTTAAATGTACCTTTACTGTTTACGCAAATGAGAAGTACATGTTTATTTTATTATTTATGTATTTTGTCTGCACATTTGAGACTAACAACACCAGTCAAGTCTGTCTGAAGATTTACTCATTTGCATCTAATGACTGGTCATTTAAAGCAGAATTTTACTTAGGGCTGCCACCGGGCAGTTGTTTCTTCTTCAAGTAATGTTTTATTCAACATCTTGTGACACATACTTCAAGTTAGAGACCTTGCCAACCAATTAAATATATGATAATGCACATAAGGGACCTGAGAAAGTGACCTGTGGTTGTTTCATATTTAGATGACATTCAAAGCAGTAGTTGTACATCTGACTGTCAGAGACCATAAATGTATGAGTTTTCTCTTTTTTTCTCTCCTCAGTATGGATTGGTCAGTGACCCTCTCTCTGGATTTACGCCTCTCAAACTAGCAGTTTCAAAGCACTCATATGCAAGCCTGGGAGAGAGTTATGCTTAAGATAAGTGCATTTGTTGGTGAACCACATCAAAGTACAGAGGGATGTCTTAGCGAGCAAAGGCAGTGGAGCTCAAACCTCGCCTTTGATCACCCCAGGCACTCTGATCATTAAAATATTGGATAAATAATTGATTAAAAACACCAGACCTTATTGTGCTCTGTTTCTGTATCCAAATGTATCCTAATTTTGAGACACTGTGGGTACACTGTACATAGGAATAAAAAGGACATATAGGACATATTGTTGCTTTGGAGGGCATGTTTTGCAAAATATTTGCTAGTAATGAGACTTGATAGTGAACCGACTAGAGGACTGAGTTACTGACTGAGTTCCAGTATGAACTGAAGGCAGGTTGAAGTCCTATGACAAACCTTCTTCACAAGCAATGGTCTGAGCTCTGGCGTGCCAAGCTGCTACAGTGGTAGAGAAACCGAGAAAAAACAAATCAAAAGTCACAGAAATGAGTGCATTCCAGCTGAGCGTAGGTTACAGGAGGGTAGCTAATATTCCATCTACAGTGGAAACTGTGCACGCAGTATGCAAGACAAGCGCAACATGAACACTATGTGTATATTAGGGATATTAAAAAGGCTATTTTCCTTCATCTTACGCTTATATATGGGCCAGTATTGAAGTCTCCCTAAGTACATATACATTTGCATATTGAGTATAAAAAATGAGACCAAGGTAATCAAAATTTATTCCTGTTCCAACTTATAATACTTGGCCTGTGGCAAAGTACAAATTCTGGACCCCATGCAGAGTCTCACTGGGCCCACTTATCCATTGAATAAATCCATTACCACGTTTGTATGAGTAACTAAATCAACGTGTGTATGCCTGTTCAACCGTAGTGGTTCATGATCACAATGATCATTTTTTCTAAACATATTCTGATTACCGCACGTGTTCTTCACTGTCAGGTTTCACCTCATTATTCCTGTTATTTTAACATATTTATTGGCCTTACATTTTCTAATGAGATAACATGAAAGGCCTTACAGAGATCGTGTTTTATGTGCAGAGATAAGGTAGCATATTAAAACTAAACCCAAGTACAACTAATTGATCTACAAAACTAATTAAATCAAGTGTTTGAACTGATAAGTCAATACCTACAATTGCTCCCATGCTGACTGGGCTTTATTAGTTGAATGTCTGAAAAATAGAAATTTTGCGATGCTG